AGGTACGCCAAGCCAGAAGAAAGAAGCTACGAACAGACGGACAACACCAAAATCCGGGAGCTACATTGTGTGTGCGAACGAGGAAAACGAGGGCGAAGGGGATTGTGAATTTGGTCACAGCGGCCCGTTTCCAGAGGATGAAAGGTGGGGTCCTGAATAAGGATCAGAGAGGCTAAGTGGGAGCAGGGGCTTTGAGGGGTCGAGCCCCGACGAAGGGGTAAGATAAATTTGCGCGAGCAGAGGACCTAGAGAAACAAGGTGGGGGTGGGAATACGACCCGTCGAAAGAAGGAGCCCGCGTGACGATTGCAAATGGTTGGGCGTCAAGTCTTGATTGGGGTCGGTGAAATAGCCACTACTTAATCTTTCCTTTTTCGCTACAGCTGCCTGGCAACAGAAAGGTGCTTAAAGAAGGCGGGTGAGCAGACTTCGCTTCTTAACTGTCATGTCTGCTCCGATCAGCGGGAAAAAACCTGAAACTAAGGGGCAGGACGAAGCATTCGCTTCTTGATAACTGTCTGAAGCTGCTCCGATCAGCGGGAAAAAGCCTGAAACTGAGGGGCAGGACGAAGCATTCGCTTCTTGATAACTGTATGAAGTAGCTCCTATCAGCGGGAAAAAGCCTGAACCTTAGAGGCAGGACGAAGCATTCACTTCTTGATAATTGTCAGAAGCAGCTCCTATCAGCGGGAAAAAGCCTGAACCTGAGAGGCGGGACGAAGCATTCACTTCTCGATAACTGTTTGGAACAGCTCGTATCAGCGGGAAAAAGCCTGAACCAGAGAGGCAGGACGAAGCATTCACTTCTTGATGACTGTCGGGCGTTGCTAAAATGAACCTGAGCCTGACGGTCGGTTCGATACATGGCAACTTGAAACTACCCCTCGGGGTCAACTCTTGATAACTGTCTGGAGCAGCTTGTGTCCGCGGGGAAAAGCCTGAACCTGAGGGACAGGACGAAGTATTCACTTCTTTATAATTGGCAGGCACTGCGAAAACGAACTTGGGCCAGACGGGCGGTTCGATACGTGGCAATTTGAATCTACTCCTTGTGATCTATTTGGCGCAGCTCGTGACCGGGGAAAATGCATGAACCTGGGGACAGGACGAAGCGACCACTTCTTGATAACTGTCTGACTCCGATAACCTCGACATGAATGAACCTGGGCTTAAGAAGCTACTCGATACATTACTTTCTGAGGATCGATTCCGGCAGACTGCCTGCTTCGGCGCAAAAATTTCGGACATGATGAGTGATCGAGGCCTGACCACTCAGGATCGACCCGGCTACGGCTACTGATTGGCCAACGCGCGAGGGCGAAGGATCGATCGTGGGAAAAATGGGGGAGGCATGAGACAATGTAAGATGCGTAGGAGGACGGGAAAAAGACAAAAGTACTGGATCAAGGAGAGAAAGAAAGAGGTTGTAGCGGGAAAAGCAAAATTTCTTCCGAAAATTTCAAAGTTTTGCGCCCAAGGAAGTATAAAAGAAGGAGAGAGTTGGGCATACGGGACGCGTACGGGAGGGGAGAAGATGCGTACAGAACGCACGGAGCGCTCGGCGGTCTTCATTAGCGCTCGACAGCGACCGGGCGCTCGGGAAGAGAGATAGAGAGAGAAGTTGGGGGAGGGGGAGGCGAGAAGTGCAGTGGAGCGGCGTTCGGGGCTTCGACTCAACGTTCATCTGCGGAGCTCAGCCGCTAGACCGCACCCTAAGGTAGCGAGGAGGGGGCGAGAGAGAGGAAGGGGAGAGGTGCGCAGGGAGAGAACGCTCGTACCCGCTCGCGTTCGTCCCTCGGTGCTGCGCAACTACCGATAGAACGAGCTCGAGCGGTTGGTTGGGAGGGAGAACGCGGGGCTCGGCTTGCCTTTCTTGGCGTACGAGAGAGAGAGAGAGAGAGAGAGAGAGAGAGAGAGAGAGAGAGAGAGAGAGAGAGAGAGAGAGAGAGGGAGAAGGAGAAGGGGGGAGCTACGATGCACGAAGGAGCGAGGAGTAGTAGCGCTCGACTAAAAGAGAGAGAGAGAGCAAGCGGAGAGGGAGAAAGAAGGGAGCAAGGCGCACCTGATCGTACCTGGACTGAGTTGGAAGGAGGCTACCTTTCGGGCGCATCTTACACGGCTCTCGGGAAGGGGAGGGGCTTCAATGCCACGCCGCGCACGCCTGTTCGCGCGACCACGGTATTTCGGGTTCTGGAAGGTTTCCTTGCGATGAGCCTGTGTCTGTCTTCGGCGAGGTCTTCGCCTCTATATCCGACCGTTCTTTCTCAAGGGAGCCTATCAACTTCTGAGCACCGATTGTACTCCGAGAGCCGAGTTTTCCGTTCGTCTTCTGGTGCTGCTCTCAACCACTTGGGTGATCGTCGGGCCATATCCCCGCTTCTCTGTTCAAATCGTTCGTTGGGAATCTGGGTGTGAATTTTCGTAAGTGATACTTTCAAAATTTGTGTTCTCAGGCAGATTGAAACTCTTTCTTCATTTGGTGTCTCTCTCTCGAAGAGGTCACCACCTCTCTGTTCGACTGTTTGCTGTGAGTCGGGATGCAGTCTCTCGTGGGTGAGACTACCAACATTCTGAATGTGTGTTCTCAGGGAGCCAGAAATTTTCTCTTTGTTTGGTGTCCTTCTCTCAACATGTGAGCTTGCGGTGAGGTTGACTACATCCTCGAAGAGGTCACCACCTCTCTGTTCGACTGGTCGCTGTGAGTCGGAATGCAGTCTTTGGAGTGTGATGCTATCAACTTTCTGAATGTGTGCTCTCCGGGGGCCCAAAATTTTCTCTTTGTTTGATCTCTCTCTCTCTCAACATGTGAGCTCGCGGTGAAGTTGGCTATATCCTCGAAGAGGTCACCACCTCTCTGTTCGACTGTTCGCTGTGAGTCGGGATGCAGTCTCTCGTGGGTGAGACTATCAACATTCAGAATGTGTGTTCTCAGGGAGCCATAAATTTTCTGTTTGTTTGGTGTCCTTCTCTCAACATGTGAGCTCGAGGTGAGGTTGGCTGTATCCTCGAAGAGGTCACCAACCCTCTGCTCGACTGTTCGACACGTGAGCTCTCGGAGAAGCTGGCTATACTCTCGAAGAGGTCACCACTTCTCTGATCCATCATTCGCTGTGGGTCATGTTCTCAGGGAGCTTGAGATTTTCTTTTGGTGCCTCTCTCTACTCCTTTGCCTCGAGAGCTGGCGGAGAAGTTAGCCACGTCCTTGAAGAGGCCACCACCTCTGTGATCAATCGTACGCTCAAGTCCTTTCCTTTGGGTGACACTTTCGACTGCCCGTGCGGCCGCTCTCAGTCCGAAAGTCCGTCGTGAGTCCGACTGTATTCTACGGGGTGGTCCCTCCGCTAAATTGGTAACTATTATCAGGTCGCAAGTGGATTCACATTTTCGGAGCTCGACTCTCTGGGTGCGAGCTCAGCACAAGAGGCGCTTTGTCAAAGTCTGTCCCGGTCGTCGGTCCTCTGACCATTGTGGACTAATGAAAGTTCCTGCCTTTCGAGACTGCGAACCGTTGTAGGGGCATGAGCGGGTTCAAGTGTTCGAAACTGGCATTTTCCCACGAGAGCTCGTGGCGTGCCTCCTGTCCGTCGAGGCAGCGTCTGTCCGAGCTCCTGCGGCCCGGGGAGCTATCCAAGATAGCTAACGTTCTGTTCGTCGAGCTCGTGGCAGTTCTGAACTGGAAGGGAGATCGAAGCGGTGGTCAGCCCGTCGAGTCCGTCCCTGTCGGGGCCGTCGCGACTCGCAACCGACGAAAAAGGGGGGGGGGTGTCTAGAAAAAAAAAAAGGGGGGGGGGAACTGTCCCGTTGAGTACCGGGGGAGCGGACCCAACCAACGCCGGGCGAGAGTTGCGTGGGCGGTCTTTCGAGAAAAAGAGGGGGGGCACTCACCAGTCGGCGGGCTCGGGGTCATCCCACTTTGGACCGTTTTTCTATCCCAGGCGGTAGGCGTCAAAGCTGGACCCGGGGACTCTTTGCGCTACTGGCCGCCGGGCCAGCAGCAACGGGAAGGAAAGAAGGGAGAGTTCCCCGACAGCGTGGCGGCCAGTGGGGAAGCGAGGGGGGGTGCAAGCTGATTGGGGTTGCGCAAACCCCGCCCCACCCCATTAAAAAAAAAAAAAAAAAAAACAACAACATAATTTTCAGGGGGGGGGATTTCGTGGTGCAAGTTGAAAAAATGAACAACAAACAAAAACCAATTCGTTCGTTTTTTCGTTTTTTTTTTCTTCCGTTGATTGATTGATTG